GACACCAAGCTGAGGGGTGTAGGAGATACACTGGAGGATAAGGCTAGCATTCAGAGTGACCCAGACAAATTGGAGGATTGAACCAAAAAAAGTCTCATGAGGTGCAGTAAGTACAAGTGCAATGTCCTGCACTTAGGATGGAAGAATCCCATGTACTGCTAGAGCCTGGGAGCTGACTGGCTAAGCAGCAGCTATGCAGAAAGGGACCTGGGGGTTACAGTGGACAATAAGATGGATATGAGCCAGCGGTGTGCCCTTGTTGCCAAGAAGGCTAACAGCAAACTGGGCTGCATTAGTAGGAGCATTGCCAGCAGATCAAGGGAAGCAATTATTCCCCTGTATTCTGCATTGGTAAGGCCACATCTGGTGTCCAGTTTCAGGCCCCCCACTATAGAAAGCATGTGGACAAGTTGGAGAGAAACCAGCAGAGGGAAACCAAAATGGTTCGGGGCTGGGGCACATGACTTATCAGAGGCTGAGGGAACTGGGTTTATTTACTTGGGGAAAAGACGACTGAGATGAGATTTAATAGCAGCCTTTAACTACCTAAAGGGTCATTCCAAAGAGGACAGTGCTCAGTGGAGACAGATGACAGAATGAGGAGCAGTGGTCTCAAGTTGCAGCAAGGGAGGTTTAGGTTTAGGAAAACTCTCTCACTGGGAGGGTGGTGAAGCCCTGGAACAGGTTTCCTAGAGAGGTGGTGGAATCTCCATCCTTTGAGGTATATAATAAGTCCCAGCTTTGGGGCTGGTCCTGCTTTCAGCAGAGGGTTGGACTAGATGGCCTCCTGAGGTCCCGTCCAACCCTAATTTTCTATGATTGATTCTATGATACAAGGCCTGTGAGGAAAAGGCCAAAGTCTACCCTTATATAGCAGAAAGCTTCTTTTTCCATTTTAGCCTTACTCATGCCACAATCAAGACTGTTGTATAGCTTTACTCAAAATAGGTTAGGTATCAGACTGATGGGAGGAATTTTTTTTTAAAAAACCCAAAAAATTAATGCACCTTCTACCAGCATAGCAGGAGCTGCACTGGGGCTAAAGTAACTTTAAGAGAATTCTCTAAAATATCATTATAGACAAGTAAAAGGTCTCTGAATGGCAGCTCCTGCTCACCTGATTGGTCAAGATAAAAGAAGGATTTGGATATCTCATTTCCTAGTGGAATCTGGCCTTGTCTGGACTAGGTTCCCTCTTTAAAATTTTCTACTATTGCTGCTACTATCTTATCTCTGCTGAAGGTAGCAAGAGTGAGAGCACTAGTATAGTCAGGGCTGCTTGCTCTGAGATTTAAAACCATGGGCCGTTTATACATGTGCTCCGGGAGTGGGGTGGGGGGCACTTTAATTAGAGCAGTTTTGAGAGCCGCTCCAATTAAAGCACCAGATCATCATGTTGATCAGTGTCCCCGCACTGAAAAATGGCAGCAGGGGCACTTTAACTGAAGCTCATCAAATGAGCTTTATTTAAAGTACCCCCACCGCCATTTTTCAGTGGGGGGACACTGATACATGCGACGCTGGAGTCTGCTGGAGCACAGTAATTACCACGTTCCAGCAGAGTTGATTAATCAAGTCTGCTCTAGGAGTGCACTGATACAAATTTGTTGGGCCAATACCAATGGCTGTTTCTTAACGAGCCATATCAGCTGATACTGATCCAATTGCCGATATGCAGGTCTGGCTGGTAAGTCTGTCGTGGAGGAAGGGGCGAGCGGGGAGGGAAGGGACATGGGGACGCAGATCGGGGCGCTGGGGTGAGGGAGGGAGTAGGGCTGAGACGAGCTGGGGCTGCGCTGCAGCTGCACATATGCGTGAGGCATTTATCGGCCACATTAATTGGCCACATCAGCCAAAAAAGCTGACTGCTGATGCTGTTAATTTTCTTTATATTGGTGCCCATCTGATATGGGACCAATGTATCGGCGCACCTCTAGTCTGCTCTGACGCGTTGTAATTACAGCAAGTCAGAGCAGCCTCTCTTCACACGTATTGGCGCCATTGGTTTCAAAGCAATCCTGAATAGGGTTAGAAAGCACTGTCAGTAAAATGCCAGAAGCTAAGCTGCATGGGCAGTCTCACTGCTGTCAATGCTAGTGAAGCAGGACTTGTAGTAACAAGAGGAAGAAATTTTTAGGGGGAAAAAAGGCCAGTGGAGATAAAAACTAAAGTTAGTGAAGTGTTCTGAAATCTGATCTTACACAACTCATTAAAATGCTCTCCCACACAGATAAGGGCAAGATTAAACACCAGGTCATACAATCATCCTGCCTCTTCCTCTGCAGCTCCACTAAGTTCCTGGCTCGTCTCCTCTTAAGTAGCTGAATCTTTTTTGTTACTCTTTAGAATCCACAGAGACTCTTCCAGTGTAAAACGAAGCTCAATTGATTCTCAGATACTTACAGCTATAATACCTTTCATATAGGTCTTTCAGCTGCTTGTAATACAAAACGCAAATGTCCTGAAATTGTTCCTAAATAACAATAAATGAACACCTCAAAAATATTTTTTAACTTCATTGTGTTCCAAAATTTTCTATGGTATGAATTTACTGGTACTGTTTGCGACACAATTACTTAAGTTTACTATAAAAGAATATTCACAGAAATCAAGTTCTGAGGTGGCAAAAGAAAGTATTTGCATTAGAAATCTGATTCTAGGAGTTATGCATATCCGAGCAAAGTTGAGTATCAAAGACCTCAAATACTTATAGTGAATTGTTAGTGGAACAAGAATCGCAGCTCATAAACCAATACAGTGTTACAGATCAAGAAATACTCACAGAAATTATTCTATGAATTATTTCAGACAAATACTTTTGGGAAAATCATCAGCTGTTCAGGATAAATCTAAATATGCTTATTTATTGAATTAATTAGCCTCTGCTTTACTACTTACTCAAGTTCTCTCAAACAACTCCAAATGTAGGCCTGAAAAGTCATTAATCCAGACCAGTCTGTCTGGTTTTAATTCTAGTTCAAAAGCTTCATGTTGCATGACTGACACATAATTTTACTGTTATCCTTAAGTACTAAACAGATACACAGTAAGGTTTTCTAGGATCACCTCATTTTTTTTCTGATAGAAAAATGCAGTCAAATCTTATTTCTATCACATATTTTGCATGAAAAATGAGACTAGAAAAGACTGAAATGTATCAGGTCCACAATATTGTCTTTGCTGAAACCACGCTTTCTAGGGAATTAAAATATTTTCCACACAAGAAAAGCGCATCTTTATTTCTTATATTAATGATGATTTCAAATAAACACCATTTTAATTATATATAAAATGGCTGCAATGCACTTTAATGCATGAGTTGCAGTTTCCATCTTTAAAGCTGTTCTCTATACATTTTTAATAGGCAAATCTAGTGAAATGTCATTCTTACTACATTGTGGCTGATAGGAATGGCTGGAGAGAGAGAAATTACTGTGCATCTAAACAACATGTTATTTTCCCCAGATTGTTCTTTACATGCACTACATAGAACACTGGCATGTGTAGCGGGTGCACATGGGTGCACGTACACCCCCTGAGATGGGCCATGCCCCCGAGAAAAGCGCCGGCGACACTTCCAGCCGCAGGCTGCTGCAGCAGGGGGGAGGGGCACGCAGCTGGCCCAGCACAGCAGGCAGGTAGGCAAGGTTTCTTTCTTTAGTTTCTGGGCTTACCCCACAATGCAGGAGGGAGTGGGGTAAGGACAGGGACGAATCATTCACCCCTGCCCCTGTCCTGCTCCCTGCTGCACTGTGGGGATTGTCCCAGGACCCAGCCCGGCTGGGGCCCCACTCACAGTGAATGGAGCCCTGCTCGGGCCGGGTCATGGGACAAGCTGAGCCCGGTGACTCCTGCAGAGTTGCAGTGCCAGGGAGCCAAGGGGGGCACATGCCCCCCCCCCCGATCTTTGCACGGGGCAAGGGTGGGCTGCAGCTGCAAGGCGAGCTGGGCTCTGCCTGCTCCATGCCCCACTGCAGCCTTTTGAAAGTGGAGTGGCACAGCGTCCTGTGCCTCATTGCCTGGCCTGCCCAGCGGCAGGTCACATGGTGGCGCGCCGCTTTCAAAGGCTGCAGTGAGGCGTGGAGCAGGCAGAGCCCAGCTCACCTCGCAGCTGCAGCCCGCCCTTTCCCTGTGCAAAGATCAGGGGGGCCATATGCCCCCCTTCGCTCCCTGGTACTGTGACTCTGAAAAGCCACCGGGCTCTTCCTGGGGGTTACTTAGATGAGGCAGGGTGGGGCAAGGGGCTCCGTCTCCTCCAGCCTGGTGCCACAACCAAGGCTGGCCCTGCCCCGGGTGTTGCGGGGCTGGGGCCGGACCAGGGCCAGTGCGGGGAGGCAGTCAGAGCCAGGGCAGGGCTAAGGGGAGGTGAATGCCGGCACCAGGCAAATGACCCCTGGCATGGGGGAAGGGGCAGCTGCACAGGTGCAGTGGACCCCGTCCCCAAGCCCAAGCCCTGCCCACTGCCAGCCCCAGCCTCGCTCCCTCTCCTCATGGCCCTTTCCCCTCCCCTTTCCCCACAGGCTTTCACAAACAGCCTCCTTTGCGCCCCCCCCTTTTTTTCTCCCCCGGCCCCCCGGTCAGCAATCAGCTGCTTGGAGACTCCCCCCGTCATTAATCGGCTGCTGGTGCCTCCCATGATTAGGAGGCACCAGTCACCCATGTCATAGAACTTGAGAGGCATCTGCTATCCCAGCAGAATTACTGCATCTCATGATCTGAGTGATATTCATGCTAAGTTAGGGACCCAGCTAAGTTGGGGACTGTGCAGCATTTTTTGGTATCAGTCCTGACCCAGTCTTTCCAAATCCCTTTAACCACCCACAGATGAAAAACCTTAGTCCTGCAGTTAAGTTACTACCACATCTCACTTGTGATTTAAGAGCAAGAAAGACAGCACAAGAGCAAGAGTGAAGGAGAGCAAAAGCGAAAGTGAGAGAGAAATGTAAGCAGTCTTACAGACCCAGTCCAATGTGACATATGAGAGAGAATAAAAAAACTACCTAAGCTTGTAAGAAAGTAGGCTCGATGAGCTCTCTGAATGTTCATCTTCAAAACACTCTTCCCTTCCTTCATAAGTAAATTGGTTATATGGTAAGTAGAGAGGTGTAGACTTAGCTGATGGTGACTGTGAGGCTTCAGTCTGTGATGTAGAAGGACCTGGTTGCTGACTTTCATGCATTTTCACATCACTGTGTTCTGTTACTTTAGACAGGATCCTATCAATGGTTTTGTAATAAGGCCAGTCAGGTGCAACAGTTTCACTATCAGTCATGCATTTTAATTTCCTGTAATGAAAGACACATAACATTAAGGTCTGATAATACAAAATAAGCATTTCATGTAAATCTTACAGCTTCATTTAGTGTCTGAAGCAATTTTTCATATAAAACTTTGATCATTTGACAGTCAAACTAGAAATACTTAATGAGAACAAAGACAGACAGAGTTTGGGAGTTTTAATTTCCAGTAAGGTCATTAAAATTATTTTCAGGATTTTATCCTGTGATACAAAGACGCATATTTTCCAAAGTTGAGCTAAGTACCAATGCAAAAGAAAAACAGCTTCTACCAGTGAAGAGAAATATTTAAGTAATTTAAGTAACCAATATGCTTGTCAAACAATGCTAAATATTTACCCTTACCAGCTGCCAAACTGACCATTCTTATTGAGGTCTAACTGAATGTATTATTATAATAAAGACTACTGAGAGAACCATTGCCTTTACACTAAATGGAAATCTACGCCATGCCTTACTCCATTAACAAAGAATAGAGACGTTCCCTTAATTCAAGTGATAGTCGCATGGCACCAGCATGATGCAGGGAACAGTCATAGTGGGTGGGAACTATAGTAACAAGCATAATGTTGGAGATATTTATAGATGTACCACAAAGTTTATGTCCATTTAGAAAGAGTTGAAGGATTCTTGACAGACTTGACTTGGAACTAGGCTGTTCTCAGTGGTGGCAGGTGACAGAGCAAGGAGCAATGGGCTCAAGTTGCAGCAAGGGAGGGTTAAGTTGGATATTAGGAAAAATTCTCTCACTAGTAGGGTGGTGAAGCACTGGAACAGGTTCAGGGGTAGGCAAAATGTGGCCCACAGGCCGGATGCGGCCCGCCAAGCTATTCTCTCCAGCCCGCAGGGCCCCTAAAAATGTAGAAAATGAATATTAATCTGTCCTGGATTGCCTGTCATGTGGCCCTCGAAGGCTTGCCAAAACTCAGTAAGCGGCCCTCCGCCCAAAATAACTGCCCGCCCCAGGGTTACCTAGAGAGTTGGTGGAATCTCCATCCTTGGAGGTTTTTAATGCCCGGCCCTGGCTGGAATGATCTAATTGGGGCTGGTCCTGCTTTGAGCAGGGGGTTGGACTACATGGCCTCCTGAGGTCCCTTCCAACCCTCATTTTTTATGATTCTATGACTTTGTCCTTCATATATATCCCTTTATGAAGGCATGTAAGGCAGTTACTTACCTGATCCAAACTTTCCTCCATCACACAGACTTGGTATTGTTTGTATACTTTTTGACCTCAAGATCATATAACTTAAAACTCAAGTTCACAGAAAACTGTATGAACTGTAAAAAAAAAATGGTCACCCAAATCACTGAGAGATTTATTTTTGGTTATATCCAGGGTTCCAGGTTTTCCGTTTCCTGCAGAAAAATGAGGATTTTCCCCTTTGAAGTGGAAAACCATGGGTTTCCCCTTTTGCAAACAGCTCTCCACAGGCTGGCAGAGTTCCAGCCTGCAACAAGCTGTTTGCAAAATGGGTACAAAACCCTAAACCCTGTCTAAAGGGAAAGGGGAAGGGGGAGGGGGCATGGGCAGGGCCTGAGAATTTAAGACTAGCCAGGGCTGACTCAGACTCACTTTGCCTCCTGCAGCCTTCGGAGTAAGTAGGGCCTGGGGAGGTAGGGGGCTATGGGTTGGGAATGAGGGGGCCAGTGATTTCCTGGTCCCTGCGTGGCCCCTGGATCTGATTTTACAGGTTTTGGGGCCTGCCGATTGGCCCTATAGGGAAGCGGTGGATGGGAAGCCTGGTGACAGGCAGGGCAAGTGAGATGGAAGAGGGAAGGGAGAGGAGGAGGAGGAAAAGAAGTGGGAGAGGGTTATCCATGGGGCCAGAAGGGGTCTTCTAGTCCCGAGCCGCCACCCACCCACTGTCCCCACGCGAGTTTCCGGCCCATCGCAGTCCCTACCCCGCTACCCCTATCCTGCTGTCCCCAGGTGCTCACTGCCCAGATGGTTCCAAAAGGTGGCAGTGGGTACATCAAAGCGCTCAGCATCCATAGTGCCTGGGCCAGACCAGGCTAGTGCAGAGCGTCTCGGCAGAGCAGCTCCACGATCTGCAGTGGGGACAAGCGCTGGCAGCCCTGGGCAGTGTGCAAGGGCTGGCCAGAGCCGCAGTGAGCCTACAGCAGTTGGGGCAGCCCAACTCTGCCAGGACATGCTGCTGCCATCTGGAACCAGTTGAGTGGTGAGTGCCTACGAGCAGGAAAGCAAGGGCAGTAGGGCAGGGACTGTGGTGGACTGGGGACTCTCATTGGGGCAGCAGGCAAGGAGCAGCAGTCTCCACTTGGTGGGGGCTAAAAGGTGGCTGGCCCCATGGGTGGCCCCGCATACATCCCCATCCCACTTCCCCTTCCTCTTCCTCTCCTCCCTCCCACCTGCCCTGCCTGCTGCTGGGCTTCCCTTGGCTTGGAAGCAAAATGCAGGACACACATGGGGCACTGGCAGGGTTGGTGGGGCTATGGCTTGCAAATGAGGGGCAATGGCATAGGCAGGAGCAAGGCACTGGCATGTCAGGGTTGTTTAGTGTCCCAAAGCAGCGGGAGGTGACAACCACAGTTGCACCTATGTCCTGGTGCAGGGGGACAGCTGCTCCTAGAAGGGAGTAAGTGGGGGATAGGCAGGGGCTGCAGATCAGAAGTGAGGGGCACTGGCAGGGCTGTGGCTTTGCAGTGAGGGGCACTGGCATATCATGGCTGCTCAGTGCCATAAAACAGCAGGGGGGCAGCTGCAGCTGGACCCGCATCCTGGTGAGCGAAGGGGCAGGGAGACGTCTGATTTTCCATAATAAAAAAAACCAAAATCAAATGCCAAAATATATAGGTATTTAGAATTTATTTTATTACAATACACACACACACACACACACACACACACAGATACTCCTCACTTAACACCATTCCGGTTAGCATTGTTTTGTTATTACATCACTGATCTATTAAGGAACATACTCGTTTAAAGTTGTGCAATGTCCCGTTATAACATTGTTTGGCCACTGCCTGCTAGTGAGACAGGCGGTGAGACAGGGGACGTCACATGCATGTATGTATATGCACATGGCCCCAGGCAGCCTGCAGAGCAGCTCCAGCAGGTAAGTGATGGGGGGAGATGGGGATTGAGGTCCCTGTAGGGAGGGAGCTAGGCAAGGCTGGGACTGCTGCCCAGCTGGGTAGGGCTTGGGGCCCAGGGCCACAATGCACAGCTGCAGGGCCCCAGCATGAAGCAGGACGGGGCTGCATGTGGCTTGTCTGGGGGAGGGGGAGAGCTGGCTCCCTGCTGCCACACGCACTCCCAAATCTGTACCCGGGGCAGGCGCAAGCTGCAGACCTGGGCTCCCACCCTGCTTTACTCCCCTGGGGCCTCCGCAGCCCTGTGGGCATGACCCAGTGTGACTGGGGAAAGCGGGGCCATGTGGGGATCTCCTCACTGCTGCTCCCCCCCCCCCCCCCCCCCCCCGGGGGTGTGCCCCCCCCCCCAGCCCTGGCGATGTATCACCTGTTTGTGCTGCTGCTTTGAGGGGCGCAGCCCCATGCGCAGGAGGCGCATTGCTAGGGCAGCAGGGGGGTGAGCAGTGGTAAGGAGATCCCTGTGCAGCCCTGCTGTTCCCAGCCATGCTAGGTCATGCCTGCTGGGCTGCGGAGGCTGCAGGGGAGCAAAGTAGGGCAGAGCTGGCAATGGCTAGCAGGGCTGTGGAGGCCCCAGGGAAGCAAAGCAGGGTGGAAGCCCAAGCCCACAGTCTGTGCCTGCCCAGGGTACAGATCTGGGGGGCGTGGGTCCCCACAGCCCCCTGGGATATGTGTGGCAGTGGAGAGCCGGCCCCCCACTGGACGAGCTACCCGCAGCCCGAACCTGCTCCCCAATGGGGCCCTGCAGCCATGCATTGCAGCCCCGAGCCCCAAATGCCACCTGGCTGTGCAGCAACCCCAGCCCTGCCCAGCCCCCTCCCTACAGGGGACTCAATCCCCCTCTCCCCCCCACCACTTGCCTGCAGGAGTGCACACGGCAGTGGAGAGCCACCCCACCCAAGGCCTCAGCACGGGCAAGCAGGGCACAGAGCTGCGGACCCAGATATATAATGTATTTTGTCTGGGGAAAAAAATTTCCCTGGAACCTAACCCTCCCTATTTACATTAATTCTTATGGGGAAATTGGATTCATTTAACATCATTTCACTTAAAGGTGCATTTTTCAAAAACCTAACTACAACGTTAAGATGTGTGTGTGTGTGTGTGTGCGCGCGCGCATATAAATGAATATATATGTATGTGTGTGTGTGTGTGTGTGTGTGATACATCACATATTATACATAAATATATATTATATGTACATATGTACACATACACGTACGTGTGTGACATTTCATTTTAAATCACAGAGAAACACAGACCTTAGGTTTTTTTAATCAGAGAATTTGGGAGGGTTTATCAGAGCATTCTGGATTTTTTAACAAAGAAAACCAGGATCCCTAGTTATATCCCTACTTTAGATCTTGCAACTGTTAAGCCAGATTGTTTCAAAGGGACAGGAGAGAGATAAGAATAAAGATAAATGCTTCACATAAGTAAAATTTGAATTAACAGACCTAGAAAATAAACAAAAAATGGTTTCTGCTAGCAGAAAGCAGATTCCATCTGATGAAAATAGGAAAAGAACTGGATTTGATAGCTGACCTACCATTTTCATAAAACATGCACTCTGGACTGGTGAATGGAGAGGAAGGGAGTTTTTTCTTAGGTTCTGATGCAGTTTAGCATGCACGTATGCTACAAGGTATGATGAGATTTTTAGCTATGGGAACTACATATAATAGAAATGAAAAGCAAAGCCTGTATCAAAGAAGTCTGTATTTTTATTCCCTCAATGCATTAAAAATTTTAATTTTTTTTTTTTATGTTTCATAACCAGCTGATGCAATTTCATCAGAGAATATTTGACAGACCATGTATATTTATACATCTTTTAAACCTGGAATAGCTTGTCACAAAATAACTAA